GGAACGTCTCCTGTCAGACGGACGTCTTCAGGACGTCCTCTGGAACGTCTCCTGTCAGACGGACGTCTTCAGGACGTCCTCTGGAACGTCTCCTGTCAGACGGACGTCTTCAGGACGTCCTGTGGAACGTCTCCTCTCAGACGGACGTCTTCAGGACGTCCTCTAGAATGTCTCCTATCATTTGGCCATCTTGGGTTCTGGCTTTGTCCCCTGAAGGAGACGAGTTCTCTGAGAACATTGTTGCTTCAGTCTCCATCAGATGCAGCAACAGGAACAGGTCTGGTCTGGTCTGGGCCCAGGATGGTCCGATTGGACCAGGGAGGTTCTGCGGTTCTACCAGCCTGGGAATATATAGGAAGTTAAAAATGGCCGCCCTGAGGGTGGGATGGAGTACGGCCAGCAGATGAACCGTGGTCCAGCAGATGAACCGTGGTCCTGAACAGGCGGTTCTGGTTTGACTCCTTCTGCTGCTCAGAGCCTCCTTGAGATCCAAACCTGCCTTTGGTTCCAGCCGTGTGCTCAGAGCGTCACGGTTCTCCTCGCTGTTCTCCCTTTCCTCTGCAGACACATCTCCATGACGCTGCCCGCCAGCTTCAGAGGGAAGAACGCCACCAGGCCAGACTATGAGCACCAGAACTCCAACCTTTACGCCATCTCAGGTCAGGAGCTGGTTTCATCCAGGAGGTCTTCAGCTCTTAGGAAACATTCATGTCTTTCATGCTGTGAACGTTTTGGGATGATGTGTCTTTCAGCCATGGACGGGGTTCCTTTCATGATTTCGGAGAAGTTTGCCTGTGCCTCCTCTGATGTGAGTGTTGGTTTGCTCTGCTTAACGGATCAGAATGGCCTCCTCTAACCGACTGTTTGCTCTCAGCTGCAGCAGGTGGATCTGATGGGCATCACCATCAAGACGCTGGCTGAGATCGAGAAAGAGGTGAGCTAGAAGACACTGCTCCTCTTCATCGAGGTTCACTTCCTCCTCTTCATCGAGGTTCATGCTGATCTACCAGAACTGAAGCAGATTAACGTCCAATGCTAAGCTCTAGTTAGCATGCTAACGCCGTGCTTCACTCTACTTTCCATGGTTTAGATTTTTAGAAACGTTTGGCTGTGATCAGGGACGGATTTAGGGAATATGGGGCCCTAGGCAAAGACAGGCAGGGGGCCCCATGAATAAAGAAGACATAGAACAGCCCCATTCCCCAGATGTAGAAATGTTAATAGAATAGACATCCATG